TGCCCGAGCGGTTAATGGGGACGGACTGTAAATTCGTTGGCAATATGTCTACGCTGGTTCAAATCCAGCTCGGCCCAATAATTAGCTGTCTACATAACCCTTTTTGTTTTGCATAAATGACAGAGAAGGGTAAGAAAAAAGGTCCAATTTCAGGGTATAGTTCGACTTTACTTTTGTCTTTATTTCTTGTGTTTAGTTACCTTTTTTTCCATAAAAAATTCCGATCTTCATCTTGCTAAGGATTCCGATATGGATCCTTTAAATAGAAACTTTAATGAACAGAGTCGAGAAAATAATCTATTAAAAAAAAAAAAAAATAGATTATCAATTGATTTGATAATAATGCAAGGATTACCCAGTAATCCGTCTTGTTCTCACTAAAGTGATATCCATATAGATATCAATATATCACTTGTGACTTTCTTTGTTACAAAACAAAAATTTGATTTTAAAATTGAAATGATTAAAATGAAATCATAAGAAGGAATATGTAAGCTACCCACTTGATTTCCATGGGATTGTAGTTCAATTGGTCAGAGCACCGCCCTGTCAAGGCGGAAGCTGCGGGTTCGAGCCCCGTCAGTCCCGGCGGATTCAATACATCAACTCCCCTTTTTGTTTCTGGGCAAGGGGATGAAAATAGTTTCGTTTATCTTTTTATTTTATTTTTCTTTTTTCATAAAGCAAAAGAAAGGGTCGATTATTTTAACTAGGGTAGAGAGACATATGTAAATGAATTATTGAGAACATTCAACACTTCAAGAAAGAGATACTGTAAGGGGTTTCCGCTTTTTGTCAACCGCTCTCCCATAAATTTGTGTAGGAAAATGGAATAGGATAGCGTATAATACATTTGCCAAGAGTACCTATATATACTTTTCTTTCTCTGAAGTCAAGGAATTTTAAATAGTTCGAATCCAACCAAGGAAAGAGGTTTTTTTTATAAAGATAAAACGTGTCTTCCCTAATGAATATGTGAATATGCTCTTTTTAAAGATTAGAGGCGATGTCGAATAAAAAACTCGTAAGAAAAATTAACGAGTTAATTTTTTTGAATATTTTTGTTTTTTACTGGGACTCGTCTTTGTCACATTCCCTTTCTTTGTTTTCCAAAAAGATGATAAACCCTTTCAATTTTTTTATTTCAAAGTGAACTTCGTACTTGTTTTCTCTATATTGATTTCTATTGTTTATTTAAGGTTCTTTAGAAACTCTTTTTGTAAAGAATCGAAGTTTTTTATGATACTTCATCAGATTATTGTACAAGGAAAGTAAACTACTAGGTTTTAGAAAGGAAAGCCGGGAAAAAGAATCATAAATAACTTTTTTTTTATTGGATCAGGAATCTCATTATGTATTCGGTGTGGATAAAAGATCTTCCTATGTTATACTATTAAATTCTTGACGATGAATCGATTTTATAGCTCCGATATTGTTATTCATGATATTTCTTTCATTCGATATCATCGAAATCTAATTCATCTGAGTGAGTTTACAAGCGAAAGATTTCTCATCTCTATGGGATTAAATCCCGAGATATTAAAAAAAAAAATAATAATAATAATAAACGATTAAATTATGGAAGTCAATATTCTTGCATTTATTGCTACCGCACTCTTCATTCTCGTTCCTACTGCTTTTTTGCTTATAATTTACGTAAAAACCATTAGTCAAAATGATTAATTTGAATCTAATTTTACTATCAATGAAAAAAAAAAAAAAAAAAAGATTTCAATTTCTCGTCTTAAATGAAAGGAATGCATTAGACTCAGTAGTAGTATCCTAAGGGGTCCGCTAGTATGGTAGAAGGAGATCTCTTTCTACCATACTAGCCATTATGGTTATTGTAATGTATAAAGATACAAGTGAAATATCTTAATATAAAAGAATCCACCTATATCTCTCTTTTTCTTTATAAACGTCAATATAAATGAAATAGAATATGAAATGTATGTACATACTTTGTCAATTTCATTTGTTTGTTTGATCCATTTAATACAGATAATCCCAATTCGATGGAAGCTTCTTCAGATTTCGAAAGGGGTTACCCCATGAATGGTTAACCGTGTAAACCCTGATATAAAAATAGAAAATGAGTCAATAAAACATAAATCCAATTTCTAAAAAAAAATCTTAAAAAAAATTGCCGAACGGTCTAGAAAACGAAAACAATTGATACAGGTTGATAGAGTTTGATTATTACCGCAATTAGAAGTATTTCTAGAGTCCACTTCTTCCCCACACTACGAGAGAGAGGGAAAATGTAAAAACTACCATTAAAGCAGCCCATGCGAGACTTACTATATCCATGTGAATTCTGCCCCCTATTTCTATGAATATGAAGAAACTATTCCATTATTGTTCACTAATAATAGTGAAATCACTGGTGCAGAGTCAAAAAAAAGGGAGAGGTATTTGGTCACCATTGATGAACTACTCCAAAAACCCACTTATCTTATAACTTATAATGAGTTATTATTTTTCTTATTATAGAATTTCTAGTAGAATCGACAAGATGTAAACACAAGCAAACGGACATTTTTCGAAGTATCCAAGGAATCTGACTCACATGTAGAAAGAAGAAGACTTTTTCTTTCTTTTATCGTTTTTTATTTTTGGAAGTAAAATGAAAGGCAATTCTTCATCTAATCTAATCTTGATTGAATGTCTGAGCATTCCGAGACTTTCATGAGTCTATATCCAAAGTATCTTAGGTCCTTTCCAAAACTATTAATTTAATTCCCTCTCTGGCTATCCAATCTAATTGAAGACTCAGTAAGTGGAACTAAATTAGTAGTGGCAAGTAAAGATTTACAGATTTCCCTCCACTACTTCAAGTTTTCCTTGAATCTGATAGGCAAAACTTTAGGTTAGAGAATAGAACCTCGAGAGCCAGGGGCTTAGAATAACGAAAAGAAAGTATAAAGAGTCTTGTCCTACGTTTTCCTACGTTTGTTATTTAAAGTCTGTTGTTGAGGCGGCACCCGGATTTGAACTGGGGAAAAAGGATTTGCAGTCCCCCGCCTTACCACTCGGCCATGCCGCCAAAACGATAGAAACTAGATTCCAATTTTCTTTTTTTTCAACTCCGAAAAAAAAAATATATATAGATTTTCAGTCACAAAATATAGAATCTAGTACAAACCAGAACCATTAACTATTGACTGTAAATTCATGACCATTTTTGAATTAAAATTAAAATCTACATTTTTTTATTTCTAATAATATTAAGAAAATCATTAGAAATGCATTTATAACTAATCTATATTGAGTTTTTTTGAATTAAAAATAAATCTTCTTCAATTTCAATTATAACAGTAATGATGAGTATATGTAAACCCCAGAATCAGAACATACGTTACGTTGTGTTATAGAGCTGGAGCTCTATAATGGGGTATTTTATCTCTCTAGGGATGCTTTTGAGGAGTAATTCTCAATAAATTTTTATATTTCAACTTTTCCCTTGAAGAGAACATTTCCTTTTTGATAGAGCACAGCATGCGCTGTCCCAAATAGAACTGTACCACAATAAAAGAAGAAAAAGAGACATATATATCTGTGCATTCTTTTTTATTTTAATAATAAAAAAATTAATAAATAAAAAAACACAAGTTTTCTTACCTACTTCAATTCAATGATATTCTAACTATTCTATTCAAAATAGGTAAAAATAAATATCTTTTCTGCAAATATTTTTTTGAACAATGAAATACAAATACATGAAAAAGTAAAGTGGTTAAAAAAAAAGTTTTCTATTTATTAGATGTTTATCTGCTTGAACAGATCCAATGATGAATAAATTTTTTATGGTATGCAATCGAATTGGAATATGTAATATCATAGGTGAAAATGAAATTACTTTTTTTTTCTAGTCTTTACAAAACTCCGTAAGTTCCAGTGGTATTTCTCAATTCTGTTCCATTTGGATCTATTTCTTATAAAAAATTCCAATTGAATATAGTCTCCGTTCATACGTATTTCATACATTCCATATATCTTGGAGTTGGATAAAATTTCATGTGATTCAGTAAACAGAATAGAAATTCCATTATTGCTAGATCGAATTCTATGGATATGATTCGGTGAAGAATGAGAGATGGGATGGGATTTTTTCAATAAACGGATAAATGGGAAATTCAAAAAAGATGCTTGGGGATGAAAAAGAGGGAACATCTACAATACCCGGATTTAATCAGATACAATTTGAAGGGTTTTATCGGTTTATTGATCAGGGTTTAATAGAAGAACTTTCTAAGTTTCCAAAAATTGAAGATATAGATCACGAAATTGAATTTCAATTATTTGTGGAAACATATCAATTGGTAGAACCTCTGATAAAAGAACGAGATGCTGTCTATGAATCACTTACATATTCTTCTGAATTATATGTATCCGCGGGATTAATTTGGAAAACCAGTAGGAATATGCAAGAACAAAGAATTTTTATTGGAAACATTCCTTTAATGAATTCCCTTGGAACTTCTATAGTAAACGGAATTTACAGAATTGTGATCAATCAAATATTGCAAAGTCCCGGTATCTATTACCAGTCAGAATTGGATCATAATGGGATTTCGGTCTATACCGGCACCATAATATCAGATTGGGGAGGCAGGTTAGAATTAGAGATTGATAAAAAAGCAAGAATATGGGCTCGGGTGAGTAGGAAACAAAAAATATCTATTCTAGTTCTATCATCAGCTATGGGTTTGAATCTACGAGAAATTCTAGAGAATGTTTGCTACCCTGAAATTTTCTTATCTTTCTTGACCGATAAGGAGAAAAAAAAAATAGGGTCAAAAGAAAATGCTATTTTGGAGTTTTATCAACAATTTTCTTGTGTAGGTGGGGATCCAATATTTTCTGAATCCTTATGTAAGGAATTACAAAAAAAATTCTTTCACCAAAGGTGTGAATTAGGAAGGATTGGTCGCCGAAATATTAATTGGAGACTGAATCTTAATATACCTCAGAACAATATATTTTTGTTACCACGAGAT